AAGTACTATGCGTTGTTGAAAGTATACGTAATTACTCATACAAACAAACATTGCCGTACATTTCCTCGCCTCGTTATCATTTCTCGCTGAGCCACGATTAAGTTCATCAACAAACTAATGGGGCTATTACGGCATGGGGCTGCGCCTGCGCACTCAGGCGGGCAGCGAGCTTCATGGCTACTTAACATGGCCGCATCAATGATGGGGAATTCATTGTATACTAATTATGTTGTTAGAAAGTTTGTGCTTTAGTTAACGTCGACAAATTGATTCGTACGACTCGCGACCTACCGTGTGGAATATGTCGAGCATGGGGGTCTACTCTACTAATGAATCTAATGAATTTTAATCAATACGTAATTCACCGTCAACTAAAATATTATCTTCCTTATGTATTACATTGACGTTTAGAACATGAATCAAAACAAGTATACATTATTGCCCACCAGTTATTTACGAATACGTGTACACTCAGATGCTGCTATCAGTGCCCAGTATTTGCTCATTCACTCTATAAATAGGCAATAACTAGGCAATGTCACGTCCATTACTAGCATATCTACAAGGTATTGCAACTTGTGCCTAGAGCTATCGGCAGAGACCTAGTCAGCCAGCGCACGTACTGACAAGTAGGACTGACATGACATTCGCAACCACCAGCGGGTACAGAGAGACCTAATTAAATACAATTTGTGGCTATTTACAGACTATTTTGTATCCTATGTTTAGTCACAAATGTGTTTTGTCGGTGCAATTTGTCTATTTAACCGTTTATAGCAATAATTGTCACGCAGTCAGGACATTGACCATTATGAGCATCACGCATGGAATTATCATACATTGATGATGTTTTCCGTTGCTTGTTGTTTGTAGAGGGATATAGAAAGGTTGAAGCCAAGGGTTGAAGTTAACTCAAAATTAAAATACCAAATGGTACTTGGACATAAGTAGGTATTTAATACGAATTCTAAGAAAAAAAGTAACCGGAATCTATCTAAGAACATCGTTTCACTGTAACCAACCCAATACTCGCTGTCCCTTCAAGAATGATGATGTAATTCTGCAATTACTTTCCTCCAAGTTATCCACTTTCAACGTCAAAGTTTCACATCGTGACAACTCCAAAACAGCCAAGTGACCCCTTACACCAAATATGTGTGATGTGGACAACAATACTAGTTAATTGTGTGATAGACACGTGCGCACTGATACCAGCCTGCGACACTGTTACAACACAGCCGAGGAACAGATACACACCGTCTGCTGACTGCAAAGGTTACATACAACTGTTGACTATTGTGCAAAACTTAGTTATATTTTCTACTGCCACATCGATAGCTTTAGAAGGCTTTCGCCCGAGGTAAAGAATTGAACGACCAGTCTATCATATCATAATATTCAAGTTTTAAGTACAATCCAGCACAATCACACACTATGTAAGTACTAGTTATTGTCGGAAGACAGAATGTTTAAACTCCAAACTTTATATGTGTGTATATGTATACAAAAATAAATAGCTTTCCATTATCTTCGCTTCAACTCTGTAAAGGCTGAACTTATGAAGTTAATATTTGTCTTGAAATTTTTCCAGGGAAGGTTTTGATGGTAAGATGCAAAAATTGCGAGAAAAAATTTCAAGTGTGGGAACCACAAAAGGGTTGTTTCTTCCAGAGTGTTACCACGGCCTCACAAAAAGCCGGCGTGAAGCAAACCACAGCGTTGTTTTGGCGTGTAAGTGAGGTTACCAGAGGCCCATCTTTGTTTATTCTTTCTTCATTAACATTTTTACCAAAATATTAAAATTACCGTATTAAACAAAATCCAGCAATATGGTTAAATCACGTATTGAATATGTCACGGCCAACGTGTAAGCACACAGACACACAGACTGACAGACAAACAGACAAATATTGAAATGAAACCTACACTTTTAGGTCGTTTGTAAGTCAAGGTGCAATTCTTGAGAATTCGTGATTCTCAAAAATCTTAGGTTATAGAAACAGAAGGATGTAGGAAGACCAGATTTATTATAAGGCGGACTTTTTAGGAAATACCTCTCACATGCTTGACACATAGAAACTTATTTATTAGAAATGGGAGAGAGAACAGATGAGGAATAAGAATTAAAGTATTAAAGTCCATATGAATACCTAAGTAAAACTGAGCTTTATCTTCATAACGGCAGATCTATTTTTCCCACGAAATATTTTGAGGTGTACCTACGTATAACTGTGCAAACCACTAGTGTACCTACATCGTACTCTCAAATTATGCAAAAAAGCAAATTGAGGATCCAAACGACGAGCACTGGAGCAAGGAGACAGTCATTCCAGTAATTGAGTATAGACTTGAATTATTCAGAAATAATTTAGTTTGGCACTCGTTTGAGACTAATTAAGTTGGTTCCATTCGAGTGAGTGAACTGAGCGTCCTAAGTAAATAACTCAGTCGTGGAACAAAAGCCTCGGATTTTGTACGGTGACGTCACGCGCCGTGTGCCCCACACTGCCCATACACGGCGCCACACGCGTCTTTATTATAATTACTACTTTAATTAATAAGTCGTAACGGGTCTTGTTTGCGTAGGCAGAAATTGAAGAGGATTGTATGTCTGCGAATTAATCTGAAGATCATCAAGTCATCGGAATTTGATACAGAATCTCTAATGCGATCGTTCGTTCACGCAGTTTCTTTCATTTTATTTTTTAAATTTTCCAATTATTGGGTCCGGAGATTGTGAAGTTTTAATCCGTGTGGATGGCCATAACCATTGAGATCGCACCGCCTAAATTAAGTAAGTGTTATCCTCTAAAGGTAAGTATCATTCCATGACAACTTTAGAACTTCTGTTTGGGAAGCACCTTGTATTTAAAAATGTTCGGAGAAATGCGTAATCTCACCAGAGTCGACCATTAGCTTGGATCACATACATTTATATCTGTACATGCATGTGTAATGTTATGACAATAATTACCGTATTGTCATAACAAGTGGTTAGTAGTCACGGCTGGAGGACATTTATGCAATACAAAGACTAGTGATCAGTCTCTATAACTAGGGCCAAGCGTGTTTAGTATAGTATATATCAAATTTCCAAGAAATGGAAGTTTGATCTATACTATACTATTATTATAAAGAGGTTAAATTTGTAAGTTTTGGAACCGCTGGTCGGATTGCCAAAATTCTTTCACTGATAGATAGCTACAATGTTCCTGAGTGCTATAGGCCATAAAACATCACGCTACAATCAAATTGCGACGGGCACCTTATAATACCTTTGCAATAAATAAGTGTGGAAAAGCCAAGCTTCGGTACGATGCGTTAGCTCGACCGTGGCCTCACAGAAAACCGGCGTGAAACAGCGCTGTGTGTCGCCGGGTGATTGAGGTTATCGGAGGAACAATCCTTCCCAATCCTCCATTCCCAATCATTAAATCCGAAACCCTATCCCCAAAAGGCCACCAACGCCCTCGTAACGTCTTTGGTGTTGCGGGTGTCTATGAGCCGCGCCGATTGCTTACCATCAGGTAATCTGCAAGCTTGTTTAATGACATAAACCCATCAAAAAAAACTACAAAAAACTACAGGAAGAAATCTTTGAGTTTACAATAAACTGTAGGATCGTTTGTTTTTAATTCAATGTTCAATATTGACGAATCATCGAATACATTTTTCAAATTCACTTTCATTGACATCTTGGGTATTATTGTTAATGGAAACGTTTTTATAATATTGAATAATTGTTTTATTAACTTGTTTAATAATGGCTGCGTGGGAACGGTGTTATTCAACATCGCGTAAGATTATTTCGAGAAACCAGAACCTGCTTGCAGGCCGCCGCCCGCCGCACGGGTACGCTATACGTACCTACGTGCGCCTGCGCCGCGCTAGCCTGCCATCCACGTAATACACCTTACTATCTTCACAAGGACTTCCCTCTGATTCAAACACAAGTTAAATGTTTCTTTTAACATTTGTTTTTATGAATTAAGCCAGAATTTTAATCATATTCCGGTTCGAATTTAAAATAAATTCTAGCTCAAATCTTATTTGACCAGCCCCCTGAGGGCACATTAATTTGTCAATAATAATATGCGTGGAGTCAGTTGTCTTTTTGTGGAGTCAATATTAAAAATATCACTTGAAGTAAACTATTTATAACACGATGATAGTTCGATGATTGTGATGATGATCTGAATTATTTTATTGTTTTCACGAATAAAAACTGGCTTCTGAATCTCCCTTTAATTGACTTATACATAAGTTATTGGATGAAAGCCTATTTTATTGTTTACATACATACTTAAAATTTGACTTAAGATGATTTAAGCAATGACATATATTAATAGAATTACAAGTCCAAAGTCCATGCGAAATAAATAAATTTAGAATTTATATTACTCGAAAGAACCTGATGGTGACTCAGCGTTACCTCCTAAAGGTAAACACAGAGGCATTGTGTGTGATACCTAAATAGGTGATAAAGACCACAACGGGTTTATATAGGATTACATCGACCAAAGGTCCGACAAATATTTGTACACAGCTACTGACGACAAACTTTACGAAAATGGGGCGCAGATAAAGGGTAACTTATGAGACGCCAAAGATTGTAAAGTAGGTACAAGAATCCAAGATGCAGGTGTTCAAACAAGAATATTCGAAGCTGCCGATGGCGCACACCTCGACACGAAGATATTTGTTATGATCACAACACTTCGGGACAACGCAGGCGCATTCCGCCAGAGAGACAAACACCAACGTAGGCAAACAATCGGCGACACTCAAACATTCAATGATTATGTCGGTATTACTCACGACCACATCACAACTTTATACAAATATTTCACATTGCGTGTACATCAATGACGACGTGAGCCTAATAGTTAATTTATGCGAGGACACGTTTTATAAGAATACAACTGTCAAATTCCCCGGCATCTGTAGCTCTCAGCTGAGCGACACACGAGATGGTAATTTGAAACTTAAATCCAACTTACCTGTGTCTGGCACAGCCACCGGCCGCTAACACAGCTCGCCCGTTACCATTTAAATTTAAACAATCGCTTAAACTTGTGATGTCTTCGAGTGCACAGTTTAATTTCCACCTTTATGTTAATGATAACTTATAAATAATAACAGTTAATAAAGCTCACGTGTTACTGCAAAGCGTTAGTGTTAGTTTATTTAATTCTGTGTATTCGCGAAGTCGTTTCGTTCGTGTCGGCCGCTCGGTATGCACTTTTGGGGTCACTCGGGGTCGATTGGTTTTATTGTGTTTTTTCGCGTGGTGCGGCTTTGAGCGTGCGAGCTTGGGTCGACGGGGCGTGCGGCGCGGGCGGCGTCCGAGTGATCACTGCACGACCACCGACTGGCCAGCGCCTGCTCGCCGCGCCGGCCGCGGGATGCGCGCGCGCACCTCCTACTCCTCCCTCAACCCTCTCCCGCAGGCTTTCGTGCACGAAAGATAAAACACTTATCGAAGCGCGTTCCGAGAAAGCGACCGCGACGCCACAATACACACATACAACTCTAATTAGTCTAAGTGTGTTATTTATTTTGATGCGATAAAAGCTTGTTCTTCGACAGCCTGCGTTTATGGGTACGTGTAACGAGCGATATATTTTTGTTTCTATCTATCGTCCTACTATTTGTCACTCTAAGTATGTAGTTTGGTCACAGAACATGCCGACTGTAAATACATCCGAACAACTTCGATTCTGATTGGAACTAAGAGAATTTACGCGGCGCGGGTTTCCAATCAAACTTTCAAGTCCAACATCTTGACAATTATTTGACCGGCCTTAATGAAACTTCGTACTTATACACAATATATATTAGTCCCAAAACTTAATTAATTGATTTTAGATAAAGAGTTTAAAAAGATAAAGGGTGGCAATTTTAAAATTATCGTATAACTGCACACTTGAACAATACTTCTTAGACTGATGAAAGTAATGATTCCGGACATACCTACTTATGCTCACAAGATAACGCTTCGAGAGATTATCTTTGAGACAATAATGTAATAAAGAAGTGGCCGCGGTTGCACAATAAGCAGTCGGTGGCAGCGATGCAGTCGATACTGGACAATGACTAGCTAGTCCCATTGTTGGAAAACCGGAACCGACCGTTGATCCGGCTAAACAATTGAATATTGCGAAGAAATTGGGTTATACTGATGTGTTTACAGATTTTTTGCGAACATGGTACCGAAGGTATCAAAATGCCAACGAGGAGCAGATGGTTATCAGTTATTGATGGCTCGCAGGCATCTCCCAGTCGCGGCCAGCCTCCGTCACGTAACGGATCTTTTACTGCGAGACTTGTTTCATTTTGGTGTTCTATATTCCTGCCCTTCTTGGAATAAAAGTACTTCACTCCCACGTGTTATCCTTATTGAACTCGAACCAGTGCGGAGACATGAAATGGCAAAATAATTTTATTAGAACTCAGATGTAGGTACGTACCTAGTTACATGTAAATCCTGCTGCGTCCTATGTTCCTCGACAGTGACGGGAGCAGGTTCCAACGTACCTACTATATGTGTTACATAATGTGATCCAAGTCGCACGGCCTCGTTAAGGTCCATAAAAATACCAACATTACGGCCACTAGATACTCGACCACTGCCATAAGCCGCACTGGACCAATTCAATCTAAGGAATTTGTTCGCCTTGTAAAATTCTTTATGGTATTGGATTTCCATATTGGCTAGAAAAAAGTTTATTAGCGTGGTCAGAGCTTCGTTCAACAAATCATTGAATCTGTGATCTATTAAGTATATACAGCTTGAACAACTATATACTTACCACACATGGGAATATTTTATAGGGATGGTATAACACAAGGCCGGGTGACGTCCAAACATTCAGTTCCTTTTATTTAAAATGTGATATTATGACGCAAATTCTAAACTTAAAAAGCTTTGGTAATAAAAATGAAAGTAGGCGTAAGCTTTGCTCGTAAAAGACCCAAAGACCTCAAGACCTAGGCCATTGAAATGGTTTCAATGTCTGCATCCCACAAAAAGGTGCATGAAACAATGACATCACTCATTTCTGATAATCGCCCACCCAACCGAGTGGCAGCACAAGGATTGCTTGACACATAACATATTCAATATTTGTTACGTTATATACGTTTTCATATTATTTTGTATTACAATAGATTTAAGTATTTTGTGTATGTACAACTTCAGATGTGTGATGAGACAATCTACTACCTAGTTCTGGTCATAAAACAATATTAACAGCTACTAACGTAGCCGCGACAAGTTCAAGGTTTGCCACATGGGCTGGTGGGATCATCATTCATAAGCTTACTTAGAAAAGAAAAACAAAAATGTAAATCTCAAATAATTCAAGTATTTGAATGCTAAGGAAACTGTTTGAAGAAAATAATCAAGTTGAGCTCCTTGTAACGAAGGTGCAGAAAGAGAGAATGCTAAGCAAGAGAGTATAGCAGAATGGAGAAAAACAATTGGCTTCTGCAATGCAGATTACCTTACGCCTTTGAAAAACTGTGTGGATGAAACAATTAAGTATGATGATTGTGATTGCATTCAAAGACTTCTAAAATATTAGCATATTCCATGCCACTGGAAGGTATAGGCACTAGCTAAAAACCCAGATATAGTTATAGGTAACAGGTTTCCTCCACGCGACCTTGTAATCGTGTGTGGTAAGCTGACTGGTCCTCTGTTTCATTCAGCTCAGAGATCAGCCTTCATAGTAACTGCCTCTATGAACTACAAATACTAATTACTGCACACGACTAGAATAAACGCTATTCGTTTTTAAAGTTACGGAAACGACTTATAATTAATATTCATTACGAGAACTAGACATTTACTGTGTAGATCTATTATTGATTTACCTACCGACCAGCTGCTGAGGATCGAGTTCAGTGGTGTGCTATAGGAGAGCTTTTTATTTATATGGAACAGCGAATATGGGCTGATATATAATGTTGAGGGGGAGGATCTAGCATAGGAAACAAGGAAAGTATAACCAGGAAATCACAGGATTTACCTAGTGCAGTGTCTCCCAGTGTAGTGTCTTCTTAAATTTATCATTATGTTCAAGTTTAATATTCAACAGTCATTTTTTTGATATCGTTCACTTTTAAAAATGTAAATGATTGCTACATTCCTTCGACTTTTATTAAAGTGAACATTTTGTAATTAGTATATGTATACTATAGTATATCTCCAAGACAATCATCTCTGGCCAAGTACGATTTTCTTCTTTCTTTCTTTCTTTTCTTTTTTAGAAAAACGTTGCCCCACTTTAGGAGTTTCTCCTGTGTTGTGGGTGCGTTTACAAACATACTATGTCACATACACATGAGACCCAGACCCGAAACAACAATTTGTGGATCCCACAAAGTGGAATCGAACCCGCGACACGTTGCACGGCAGCCAGTTGCCCAGCCACCGCATCAACCGTGCAGTCACCATGATTCAGACTTTTTCAATAAAATTTGCTACAAAATGACAATGAGCCACTATATTTAAATACTAGCATATGTTGCTCTCCTCACTCGACAACTTGTTGTTTTCGGCAGGGTTGTAGGATTTGCTTTGGAATGAGCATAGGAGGTTATTCCTTAAATGGAAAATTTACAATAGCCTTTCTTCTGCTCTTAGTGTTTTCCTAAGTTCATCATGATCATCGTAACCAGCCGGGAGATGCCCTGCTGCGTCTGCTGAACAAACGTCTCCTTAGTCATGCATATCGAACGACAATTGGTCACTTGCATTCTTTGGCTCCCCGAGCCTCTTACGACCTTTTCGGTCCAAATAGCGGGCGACCTACTCTTTCCTAAGTTACCACCCTTATATCCTTATTTCCTACAATAATAAGTATTATCATCATTGGATCATCGATACCTCTAGGACTAGTAACCCAATTCTTGTAGACTCTAAGATCCTTAAGTACCTTCCAGCTATTGAAACTTGCCTGTATGAGGAGTATTTGTCTAAATGAAGTGTATAGCCGGCTCCAAAGGTTTGTTTCGTACTATGACTAACAGTTGGAATTAGAAATAGGTCGAATGTGTCCTTGATAATACAACTATTGATAGATTCTAGAGCCATTTACATGCTAAGTGAACTCATCAGTACCTACGTGTGTGTAAACAAGAAAACCTTGTGGGCGTCACCACAGTCGCCATTACCGCCAGTCGCAGCGCAGCTATAGCAGCATTGATGAAATAATTAAACTGTTATTATGACAACTGGTTCCACTACACATTACTGCAGATATAGCGTCACACGATTTCAATAAAGCACCGTTGCCTTTAGTGGCTTCACAGATGTTCTTTCCATTGGATATTTGAGGAGCCACTCTCAGTGTTCTTCTAAACTCAAAGCTTTCATGTGGCGCATTGTTTGTAAGCAATTCCTTCGTTAAGTGCGAGGTATATAACGTTGGTATTTGTACTTAAATAATAAGTGTGAAAATAGAACTCACGACATGGATTGAAATGTCATTATTTAATTAATTCTTCAGTTTACTATAAAGCCCAATTAATTGTTAATCAAATCATGTTGATGTACCTATTGTTTGTGTATGGTGGCGCTGGACAATGCGCGCTGGTGCACGATTGTGATGTTAATACGTGACGTCACACCTGCGCCCGCGCACCTCACCAGGAGGTGCAATGTCACAATGACGAAGGAACTGCCTTTTACAATATCAAAACTGAGTCAACTGACTATTGACTGAGCCATTTTAATTTTTGGACTTTTTCACTTACAGCTAATAGTTCTTCGACGATCCTGAGCCTTGATGGATTGCGATTGAATAGCAGTGTAGTACTTAATTGTAAGTGAGTGCTCCTGAGCTCACAGTCGGCCTGCGTGGAAATGGAAAGTGCGATACACGCTTTAAGTCGCCTTACTTCACAGCCTGCCAACAAACTCGTGACTTATTTCTCTAATCTATTATGAACGGAGGAGGCGTTAGCTTCTGTAAACTATTAGATACGAAAATAAACTTAGTAAACTTCTCATTCCTAGTTGAATGTTACAATAATAATGACGGATTTCAAAAATTTGTCCCGTTCAAGTTTTCTGTCAGAGCTATAGGAGTTCAAACAGTCGATACATTCTATGTCTTACAATAACTTTCACATTAATTATTCATTAATTTTGATCTGATTCGACTTTCAAACCTTCAAGAAAAGAACGTACTCCTTAAAAGCCGGGCACATCCGTTCGACCTATTACTGGTGTTGCAGTCTTTAGGCAGCAATTGTACCTACGTATATCTTTGCAGCCGTCAAGTCTAACAATATCAATGATGCTTATATGCATCATGTCATGCAAGCAGTACTTGCAGTGCACTGT